AAGGCTATTTCATCCATGGAATTTTTCCACGTGAAAAGAAGAAACCAGTTAGATGTAGTATAGTTATGATTACAATTTTTATATATGTGTTAACTCAACTGGGTGTGAAAGGCTATTTCATCCATGGAATTTTTCCACGTGAAAAGAAGAAACCAGTTAGATGTAGTATAGTTATGATTACAATTATCTTTAATATAATAATATTAAGGAGTTTTTTTCAGTATCAAAGGGTTTTGTGGATGTCACAAGGGAAAATTTTTGAAGAACATTTCAGAGGAATATTTCATTTGATGAAAAAAACCTATCAAATCCTTTGTAACTTTTTCCACGTACTTTACATTCAAGCTTGTTGCAAGATGTACTAATTGAGGACATAGGTATACAACTAGCTTGTGAGATTGTCCTTGTTAATATTTTTTTCCTAAGATTAAGCAGCAAACACTACAATTTCTTAAAATATTGACACATTATAAAACAAAAAAGTAACTTACAATAAAATTTATCTTGGTTTCTTATTTGAAAGTTATTGATGGGTTCCTTCCTCGTATTATTATATATATTAAGAATATTTTATTCGGTGTGTTTTATAAATTTAGAGAAGAATTTGGGGATATTTTTTTTTAAGTCACTGGATCGTATGGTTTATGTCACACAACAATATAGGTTACGCGGATCAGGTCCAATTTTTCCAATCAGCCAATATTAAACCTAAATTTTATTTTGTCACGTTTTATATCCAATAAGAATAATAACAATAATAATAATAACAACAACAATAATAAAATCAAACTTCCTCCATGTTAATGAATTGTCGACGAAATGATTGTCGGTGAAGGGATTGACGACGAAATGAATCAGACTCCGGCTACAGAACCATCAAGGAGAGGTTCACCTTGCTTCTTTAAGAAAATTAAAAAAGATTAAAACTTTATACCTGCTTTCGGATGAATAGTGTGTTGTGGACATAATTTATTGGCATATGACAAACCAGTTTTTATGACCGATGGAAGAATAAATATTTCCATATTTGGGGTATAAATGTATACTTGTTTTTATTTCGTGTTCGCGATCATTTGATTGATATATTGATATGGAATAAAATTTTCTTGTTTCATTCAGAATCCAATTACATTGGATGTTGTTGGATGACTTATTGAGGAATTAATGTATAGTTCAATGAAGTGAATGTCAGCTCGCTGCATCATAGCGGAGCGTAAGATCTAGAAATAATCGGCGCTTAATGCTTGCTCGTTTCATTGGAGAGACTGCATTGAGAATGCTGTTTTCATCGTGGAAATAACCTTATTAGTTCTACTTTTTACGATTTTTGAAGAAACATATAAAGATAAAAACCATTCGTTCGATAGAGTCACCAAAATTATCAGAAATATATAATAACCATGTCTAATACTTGTGCCGGCTGTAAAGAAGAGAACTCTAGAATATATATTCAGATACAGTTGTCCCACATCCTTTTACAGCTCTAGGGATGAGATTTCGTGGTGATAAGAGATTGGATAATATTATCCTCGAATTCAAGCTTACAAATACATTCGATAAAAGTCATGATGGATGGTGTTCATCGGGCTTATATAATAAAAGAACAAAATACACAAGTGGGGACGCTATTCAGGATTTGGATCGAGCGAAAAAATCATGGTCAATTGGCAACTTTGAAACTCACGATGCCTGTAAAAGATATTTGAAAGGCTAAAATTCTCGAGAAACTATTAATATGGTCAGTGTATTGGAACGAACAGGTATGCTTTAGAGTTATTTTCTTAAGCAGTGTTGAAAACGCCAAAACGAAAATTTTTTATGTTTCAAAATATTAACAGATACAATTGATAGATTTAATGTTTACGAATTATGAATACATTTAAATTATTTCTTTTAAAAATTAAAAAAAAAATTATAAACATGATTAAGGGAATGCAACAGTGATCGTGCCTTCTACACATTGTAAAGTCGTTTTATCCGGGCTTATAACTAAACAACAAAAATAATTAAAATTAGCAAACATTAATTAGAAAAGTCGGTTTCCAATCAAAATAATATTGGAGATAACTTACGAGTCCTGTTTATGTAAAGTTGGACAGTTTGAGCTTTAGGTTGGTCGGGACTAGGAGGAAGTGCATATTTGACTGTATAGTCAAGGTGTCCTACTGGAATTGGACATTTTACTTCAGGGGGTACTGCTTCACTTCCACAAAAAGTATGTTCATGTGAAAGTATTGGTGTGCCATCAAGTGTGGTTATTGTCACGTGAATACGTGTTTTTGGATCAACTTCGACAGTGCTATCCCATACAACATGTTCGGTGATGGTTTCCCCAGGCACAATTGTGGCCGGGGTATATGTATCCTCGGTAACAGTGATGGGGAATGTACCAGCGCACTGGGTAAATTTACCAGCGTCGTCTGCTCTTTTTCTGATAGTAAATGAGTTTATCGTTGTTGCGAACAAGAAGAACAAGAACAAGAAAATGATATTATTATTCATTTTGGTTTAAATGATAGTTTTTTATTTATTTTTTGTTTGCTGCTTCAATCGAATTCTCTCTTTATTTATAACAAAAAATCTAGCACAAGTTTCTTATAAAAGCAACAAAAATGAAAGGAAAATACTGATGTCTCTATCATTGTGTTTTTACCAAATAAGAACTAATTATTTATATACATATGAGTCTGGAGTTTTTAACAAAAAGAATGATTATCAAAAGTCTATTAAAAGAAAATCAAATTTCCAAAACCTCAGCCCATCCATTATCCATCAATTTTATCCTTAAATATATCATAATATGGTGGGTGTTTGAACGTGAAATTCCCTCTGATTGGCTAATTTAATTTTAAACGTATATATATATATATTAAAAATTTTATTGTCAAATTACTAAATTTGGTCATGCATTTTCATGCATTTACGAAATAAACAATTCAATTTTTTTTTGCTATTTTCTCTAAACTTTAATAACACATCTCCCCCATAAAGTAACTTCCGTTACTTGTTTACTATTATTATGTAAAGTTACGGTATTGAAACATGGCATCATAAATTTTGCATAAAAATTGACGAGGAGGAGATGTAAGCTATCATATCCACATTCATTAGAGATCTTGATTTGCTTTAATAATGAAGTTTGTATTTTGGAAAAAATGGCGAGCCGTTTAAAAAAAGGACTTTACACGATTTGAGTGAAAGATATACATACATACGGTCTAATTACACTTCCTGTGACATATTGTTCGACTACCAATAAAACCGAATTCCACAAAAAAAAATTTCTGAAAAAAGCCTAATAATAATTATGATTAACGCTAAAAATAATAAGATAATAAAAGTTTTTCGTCATTATTATTATTAATCCGGCGCAACATTCAAGCTCCATTTCAGGATTAATTAAATGTTTTTGGAAATTTTATAAAAAGAATTTGCAGTTTCACGAGAATGGTTGCGTTATATAATAAAGTATTTATTGGTTATGCTGTGATCATGCCAAGAATAGAAGGGAGAAGTCGACACGGCATGTCAATGTTGGTTGAGACTTGCAGATCAATGAATGGATTTATTTTTTTTTCTTCCCGAGGTCATAAAACCTTAATTATTTACAAGAAGAATAAGAGAAAATCAATATATATCTCTCTATTTTTTTATCGTCGTGAAAAGGCAAATGCATGTCATCGTTATACTGTACTGGGATAAAATCGTTATACCCTAAGAATTATTACTTTTTCGATTAATTAATGAGGAAGATTTTAAAAGAACTATTAATTTTTGAACAATAAAGAAACTATTACTTTTTCGATTAATCAATGAGAGGAATCTTAGTAAACAATAAACCATTACTTTTTTGATCAATTATTGTGAAAAATTTAACAAACAATAAAGAATTATTGCTTTTTCGATCAATTAATGAGAGTTCTTGGCAACTATTGCTTTTTGATTAACAAAAAAACTTCATCTTGATCCGGAGACATTCGAAAAAAAAAATATAGTAACAGTTGTCTGTGAAACACACAACGCCCTTGATCTTTTTTTGGTATGTTCCTTTCTAAAACTTCTAGAACTTTTTTCATTAATAAACTTGTTTAACTGTCAACTATTATGGAGAATTGTTTATTGTACGCAATTCAAATTCCTGTGCCAAGAATTTTAATCATATGTTAAATTATTACCATTATTATCACCAGAAAGATAAAATTAATAATGAAATTTATAATAATATTCCGGTTAATTCTTGAAGAGAAATTATTTTAATTAAAAAAACAAGGAACTTCCTGAAAATGAAAATGAATTTTGTAAAGAAATCTTTATTTGTGATTTCGGATTAATAAATGCAAAAAGATGAATTGGGACAAACAAAAAGAATATAACAAATCAACAAGACACTCTGATAGATTCTGTGAAGGTTACATTAGTTTGCATTACAGAGTCCTATTACTATACTTGGGCATCTGAAAATAACATAGTTGATGATTTTAGAATGGATACCTTTTGAACAATTTGAAAAGTGGATTTGTTCAATTTCCAATCTATTTTATCACATAAACAAAGTTTAGGGATGAACCCAATACATGGCAAGTAATATTTTTTTTTATTTCGAATGTTCATTCCCTTCTTTCTATAACCTTTTGGTAAGTGTGATGTGGCAATCTCGCTTGTCAATCTTTGATATCACAGCCTAAAAAAAACTGGTCGTTATATCACATGTAACTACAACCAGAGAGTAATTGATTTACCTAAGAACAAGTTTCGATCTCAACAACAATGTGATGGTAATAATGCTAGCACTATTAGTAATGATAATGTTAGTACTATCATTGCTAATAATATAGTATTCAAAGTTGCCCCTCATGTCATGTTACCACTAACCAGACCTAGATTGACATTGTCACAGTTAAATTTAGATCTCAAGAGTCAATGAGGGAATGTGGAAGTGAAGAGGGGAATGAATAATATGAAATGTTTTGTTTTGTTTTGTTTATCTTATATTTAATATTATTTTTTTTTTGTCTTTGATTATAATAAATATTCACTCTATTAATTTATAGTTATTTTCAAAGCGAGATGCATCTTAATTTGAGCAAGGAAAAATATGTTCATACTACTCAACTCTATTTTTGGTATGAAGTGAAGAAGACCTTAAAGGATGCTCAGAATTATTTATATCGAGAGAATTAATGATTTTTAATTTTGACAACATATTAATTAATGTGTGAATTTTCTAGCAAAAACCGGTCCTTTTATTATTTGTTATTTTTGTTATTTTTTATATGACTACCACAACGATCTTTTCCATAATTAATACAACAGTCTTTGTAATCATCTTTTCCTTTAATAAGTTTCTTTGCACTAATCGTGGAAGTAATAGACATAAAGTTGACAAATCCATATGATCTTTCTTTGACAATATTGGTTGATTCTATTTCACCATACTTTTTAAAGTCATTACGTAGTTTTTCTTCAGTCACTCCTTCACCAAGTTTTCCAATATAAATATTACGAGAAGCACGCCTGGTATTCACTTCATACTTTATATCTTTAGGCAATGGTCCTGGATTGTCCCCCCAAGCAGCCTTAAGTCTTCTATTTTTGATTACCAAGCTACATTTTGCGCCAAAAACAAAAAACTCACTGCATTATTTGGATCAATGAAAGTGACAAATGCACTTGTTTTTTGGGATGTATTGATTACCAGCACGAATATAATTACAAATTTCTTTAGACCTAGTTGAGGGGTGAATATTTCCAAGATAAACCACTTGGGTTTCGTCCGTTCTTTCTTCTTTTCTTCTTTTTAGTCTTTCTAAATCCCTAATAATTTTTTCAAAAAAAAAAAAAGAGATGCGATTTTGTTTTTGTTTTGGCAATTCATCGAAAAGGTAATGTTTATATTAATTTTTTTCAT